AAAATGGTGCCCGGTTGCGTTATCGCTGACAAAATGGCGCCCGTATGCGGTGTCGCGGAAAAAAATGGCGCCTAAATTCTGTGGCACACTCGCCGTGAAGGAGTCTCGGCGATCTTGCATTGACATGCTAATTTCTGTCAGGCAGCCCTGTGATTGGTGGAAAGCCCACCACTGCCACGGTCGCTGCCCACCACTTGCATTGGCATTGGCTGCTGACGTTTGGGCTACGCCTATTTCAAACCTTTTAAGCAGTTGTCTTTAGAAGCTAACCCCACTTTTTCTGATGATGACCGCTTGTGTTGCGATCGAAACGTCGTGATTTTTTAATTATATTTTCTCTATCTACGTTACTTAACCGAAAGACCCAAAGAATATGAATTCCTGCAGTCACGAAAGCTTTAAGTCAATATTTGGATATTATTGTTTAGATTACTTCAAGCTGTTCACAGTCTTCGCTTTTTTACACATTTATACATCGTATTTCTGTAAAACCGTGGAGAAAAGTTTAGCCATGTAAGAAAGAAAACATTTCAAATGTCAAATTGGCATGTTTTATAAGCAATGTGTATTACATAGTAGTGACTCAATAACTCACATTATGTCAAGTTGTTCGTTTAAAAAAATGTTTGTCTAAATGAGTCTCCATCTGTAAATAAAAGGCTATATACGTAGACTCTTTGAGAGTCAATTTGCTATACATTGTTTAATTTCCAAACAATGATTATATATACGTGTAACAAAAATATTATGGGGAGTAAGTGTTCTTTTATAATTGCTTTTGCCTCAAAAGTACAGAAAATGGCTATTATTCCCCACAAACTTTGCTTTTGTGACGGGACACAAAAGTAAAGTTAATAATCCACTCCATTAATAACACTGTGTAACATTTTTTTCTTTTTTGTTCCTGGGTAGTAAGTGTTATTTCCGAATTGCTTACGCCTCAAAAGTACAGAAAATGGCTATTATTCCCCACAAACTTTTGTGACCAGGTCAGTTATATTTTGAAATGTACCTATTTTCAATGAGAAAATTTGTGCATTTGTGTCATTCCTTCACATAAAGTCCTGGTCACAAAAGCAAAGTTTATGAGGATTAATAGCCATTTTCTATACTTTTGAGGCATAAGCAATTAGAAAATAACATTTACTACCCAGGAACAAAAAGGTGGCACGTATGTATTACTTTATGGACTCTTCGCATGCACCATGGATGGAATTAAAAATGACTTTAGCACTATTCTTTTGAAGTTATTAAAGTTGTTATATGAATAAAACATAGTTTTCAAACTAAAATGACAATTTATTTTTCTATAATCATCAGTATAAAAATGTCTTTCATTGGTCTTATGTAAATGAGCTTTAAAATTTGCTGCATGTATTTACGAAGTGTTATCTTAGGTGCCAATTATAAAGTTGAAAATGGTGTTGTGAAAAAACTATAAAACCAAGTATGTGTGTTCCTTCTTTCTCTTGCACCCAATTATATTGCAATTGTGCTATAGACTTTATGTCATGCCATGAAAACAAATCAATTGTCGACCCCCAAGCAGTATATTTGCAAGCAGTGTGTCTTGCTATGTCTTAAAACAAGCCTGGAAAATTATGTCACGGAACTATTTGTGAAGTCCTTTAAATTTTGCTATAATCCATACCAGCTGGTGCACTTTTCCATTTCTCTGCAAAGAGTGTTTGTCAGATGGAACCCAAACTAAGAGTAGTCATCCTCAGAATGAGAATACTCTGTATGGAATGTAATGTGATGTTTTTTGTACAGTCAATGGTGACTGGGCTGAAACGATCAACCTGAGAATCCGGTTTAATTCACGAACCATTGCCTGGATTCAAACTCTGAATCTCAGCTTCACAGGCTATGTGTTTTGACATGGCATTATCTCCCTGAAGCCATCCAACCACCTCCAGCCAAAAATGTTCCCTGAAACGTTTCCTCTCCACTCGTCTTGTATGTGGCGCACATTTAAAGATGAAAATTTCATGCACGGTTGTGCTTAAATAAACATTACTAGCTCAATTCACAATGTCCTCTTCATATTTATATTTACATCTATATATAAGGGGCATTTGTGAATGTGTGTCTGTTCAAAACGTTTAGCATACTTCCTGACATGCAACAAACTTGAAATGTGGCATGTGCGTACTTTCCAGACTGTACACCATGCAAAAAATTCATTTATTTTGCACGGCAAGTGAGCTGTGACGTCACATCTGTCATGTCACCCGCATGCGTAAGCGTAACGCAGTGTGCCTGCTGATGTCACGCATCCCCCCCCCCCAACCCTCCGCGAGTAAAGTGCCATACAAATGTGTTGCAGGCCTAAGGCGTTCTTCGCGCAGCATTGCTTTATTATTTCAGTCGTTTACTGCCGTACGCACCCTATGGACGTGCGCGCGTGTGTGGGGGGGGAGTGGTAGTATAGTGGGTAGCGCGCTGCGCTACCCACTACACTACTGAGTTCGATTCCCGCTCACGGCCACCACCGGTGACGATTATTTGAACCGGTCCTGGGCCTCCCCTAGGTCGACTCAGCCTCAAACGAGTAACTCGTGTGGTGTGTGAACATCGCCACTGGGAGGACAAAGGCAGCCGGACATGGTGTATCCAAGTCCCGGGCGAAGCCAGGTAGTAAATACAGCTAGTCTATATACAGTATATATAAAAGGTAAATTTGTGAATATGTTTCAAGTTTTCAAGTTTCATTTATTAGGTATAGCCCTGTGAGCCATGCGGCTCTTAAGTCGGGTGCAACCGCAACAAACAAAATTTGAACACAGAACATCTTAAAGCGACAACGCGTAACAGAAACATTCTGGAATAAACCAGCAAATATTCCACGCAAAAAAACTTATTAAAACGCTGTGTGCAAAAAATCAATGTGGTGCAAGCCAACAACAACAATCACAAGACAATTTATATTAACCATATGTTTTCGAATCACCAAAATAAAGCTGTAAAAACAATGTAACAACAATAATCATAGGAACTGTGAATTTAAATTTAACAATAAACGATATACATAACACGTACGACAAAAAAACTGCAGCCATAGCTGGCAGCACGACACTCCCAGTGTATGATGTGTGAGTCAGTCAGCAGCAGAGTGAGTGCATGATGTGCGGGTCAGCGTATGATGAGTGACTGTTCGAAATTTTTAGCATACTTCCCGACATGCAACAAAATTGAAATTTGTTATGTGGGGAGACTCCAGACTGTACAATAATGGATATATTTTGCACGGCAAGTGAGCGGTGACGTCACATGTGATGTCACCCGCATGCGGCAGCGTCACGCAGTGTGCCTGCTGACGTCACGCATCCCCCCCCCCACCCTTCGCGTAGGCCGTGTATTAATCCAAGACAAGAATCCAAGTCTCGGGTGAAGCCGCGTAGTAAAGCTAGTCTGCAATAAAGATGTCACAACCCCATTGCAACAGGGGGAGACCCAAGACCAGATGGTGGGATACTGTTAGGGCAGATCTTAGGGGTCGTTTTTCTGTAGCGCAGCAGCTGCGGTATCTGGCAGAGGGTATAAAGTGTTGGCGAGGTGTGGTGATGTAAGCAGTGGCTTTGGCATTAAGAATAATAATTAGCATGTACAAAGTGCCATTTTCAAAAAAAGTTGTTTTCAGTTTTTTTTTTATAACCACTGCTACCACCCTGCTTCTTAGTTTACTAACAACTGCGATTAAAACCAAATAACCACTGTGGAACGATCATTTGCATCAATACCAATATTAAATCGATTTCCATTTGGAAGAAAAATCATGCATATGCATGGTTTACGCAAAGCTTGCCAACATGTGTGTGTCCTGAGGAGTACTTCGTGATAATGTCACGCTTCGACCTGCAAAACGAGGTGATGTCACAAGTAATTACGTCATTGTGAGGGGGAGGGGAGGTGCCTTCACGTCGTGACGTCGCAAGATGATGTCACATGGAACAGCATCTATATTCTTTGGTTCTTTCGGTAAAGTCAAGCAGAAAAAAATATAATAATAAATAAAGTGAATAATAAATAAATACACTTATTATTTTGACTTAATTTTTTTCTATCTACGTGACTTTACCGAAAGAACCAAAGAATATGAATTCCTGCAGTTCAAGAAAGTTTTAAGTCAATATGTAACAGCATAATTCGTGGGGGAGGAGAGGCACGTGCTTCCTTTGAGCACTTATTTTAAACAAACAAAAAATCGCAATTATCTTTTTATCTCCATGTTTGGAGAAACTCTTTGATTAATTTCGCCAGTTTCTACAGCATAAGTCCTTATTAGTGAAGCAACCTCAAAATTAAGTTCAGTTAACAATAAATCATCTTTACAATGGAAATTGTGTCCTCCCCGTCACCTCCTCCGTTTCAGACTGAGACGCACTTTAAACGTTTGTTTGAAAGTATTTTCTTTTTTAAAGGTACTGTCATTTATATTGGAACCTACAATAGCTTCACTTTATAAGGCACACCGTACATACCGAGTGAATTTAAAACAAAGAAGATAATTTAACAGGAATTTAAATATTAATTTTAAGTCTTCCTAAAAAAAATGTTGCCAGAATTTTTCTTCATAATTGGCACTTGTTCATCGGGTATAAAATGGGATCATTGTTTTGCTTTTTTCCATGTAGAAAGTAATATAGGTTACTCCATAGTTATTTTCATAATGCACTGCTATTTAATATACTAAAGCATGCTGAAAACAGTTGAAACGGTTTTCTTTTGTGCGTTTAATGAACAAATACATTTGGAATCTATTACACATGTCGAGCATTTAGGGTAGTGTGGGCAATGAATAAAAAAAAAGCAGCGCAAGTTACGTGTGTTATGTGGGCGGGATAATAAATTGCTGTAAACCGAGCGTCTTAAAAAGGAAATGTAAAAAAAAAGTAATATTGGTTGAGTGACATTGCAATGCCTTCAGCCGGGTGCCATGGTGTTATCATTAAAACATGTCCCTTTGCTCTATTTCTATTTTTTCCCATCCGTCGCAGTCCCCTGAGCTGGTGAATACTGCACTCCTGACAGGTCTCCCGGTCACGATCCCTTTAAGAGTTGTTGCCGTTGAAGCCAATGGACACGTGTCTGACGTTTCCCAGCGAGCTCGCTGCCACTCAAGTGACGTTGACGTCATTAAGGTGCGTGCCCCCCCCCCAAGGTGATTGCAAAAGAAAACAAATAAAACGTGGCAGCTGTCGTGGATTCCGGAGTTGGCTGCGCTGCCGCGTTAGAGTGCGTTTCCCGTGGAATTAAAATTGAAAATATTTCAGCATTGCGTTCGCGCCTTGTTGATGTTATTCCGTAAATGTTTGTTTTCACCGTAATTTGTCGAGCACGCACATTTAATTCGCCGTTGGAGCTGTGACAGTAGCTTCAAAATAAAGCTGAAATGTGTTTTATTTATGTATGTTCAACTTTATTTGAAGCTTTCGTCACTGCATTAATTACTCTTTAGTTCTTTCGGTAAAGTCACATAGAAAGAAAATAAATTAAATAACAGAATACGACGTTTCGATTGCAACACAAGCAGTCGTCATCAGGTAGAACTAAATTTGTGTTATCTCTCTCTGCTTGTGTGTCTGTCTGTGTGTCTCCGTGTCTGTGTTTTGTCTCTCTCTCTCAAATTTAGTCCTACCTGATGATGACTGCGTGTTATGCAATCGAAACGTCGTATTCTATTATTAAATGTATTTTATTTCTACGTGACTTTACCGAAATAACCAAAAAGTATGTTCAACTTATTTTACATTATACGTAGCCAACCGTGCTAATCACAATACATTTTCTAAATTAAAACCGAGTGCAAGAATAGTTGACATATTCTGTGTTTATTGACACGTATTTTGCTCTGGTAGCTGTGTATGTTCAGAACCTAAATGTACTGTGTTTGTGCTGATTGTACGGACGATTTTTCATCAGGTACTTTTCTTCATGTTCATTTCTTGTTTTGGTAATTTTTCAGAACGCCGTTCAAATATAAACACTCATTTTTCACGCAGGCACGAGCAATCAGTAATATTGCCCAACACGTAATGAATTTAGTATTAAAGTGCAGCTGTGAAGGTGACTGATTAAAACAAGCAATGCCTACCTATATATAGGTACACTGCCAAGCATTCTGTTGCCCAGTTTAGCATAAGTTAAAATATATCTTGTATCGGTGATATGCGCACAAAACATTCCTATGTTTTTTAATTGTCAGTATTTGTTTTAGATTAGTATCATAATAATTTTATTTTGCTTTACTTCAAGGGAGTTTTACCACCCTTCTCCATCTGTTTAAGTCTATTGTAAAAAAAATTAATCAAAGAATGTTACGATCATCACTATCTATCCTACATATTACATCAATGGCATTTATAGTGCATTTGCGCAGTGGTCAGCGTACTGCACTACGAAGCTGGTGATCCGAGCCGAGGTAAATCCATGGCCACGGTTAACATGGGGTGCAAAGTGATATTAGCACGGAGTTCTGAGCACCACCTTCATCAGAAAACCCTACACTGACCAGCGTGATGACATATAGCCAAACAACCCCTATGACTAACATTGCATGGAGAGGCCTTTTTCCCAGGAGTGTGCATTCACGCGCTCCAAATAATACATGAAATGAATATAGAATGTTTTTTTTGTTAATTGCAACTACATTTTAAAAACCCAAGTAAGCTCATGATTTATATGACTCGAATTATTGATAAACACTTAACGTGTCTCCATTACCATATAGAACATTCTGCTTTGTCTTTAGACACTGGCTGTTATGAATTATAAGTTTAGACTGACTGACATACCAGTTTACCGAGCGTGTGTAATATATAACAAAACATTTTTTTTCCAGGAGTAAAACAAATGACAACCTTTCAGCCAACCGACCTCCACTGTAAATATCCGTGCTACAAAGACTGTACCGATGAGTACTAAAATCCCAAAGTGGAAATCCATTGCAAGGCTGTTGCAGTCTATAATTAAGCATGCAAATCAAATACAGACATGTCACTCATTATTAAAGAATTATAATTTGCAGTTTGAGCTATGCCCATCAAACTAAATACACACACATACTTGGTAGCGTAAATTATTTATTGTATGAGCTTCATCCCTCTCAGCCTTCACCATGGTATTAGCGGAACACATCGGATTTCAGTGTCCCCAGATGTTTATCACCAACTCAGCTGTGGTTGTTTAGAACGCTGCTGTTATCTGCTTTTGAAGATCCCTCAAGGTTTTAGGAATTCATATTCTTGGTTCTTTCGGTAAAGTCACGTAGAAGGGAAACAATAAAATAATAAAAATATAAAACAATACAATTATCGCGGCGTTTCGACTGCAACATAAGCAATCATCATCAGGTGTGAAAACCACAACACGATTTTTTTCTTGCTGTTGTTTTCACACCTGATGATGATTGCTTGTGTTGCAGTCGAAACGCCGTGATAATTTTATTGTTTTATATTTTTATTATTTTATTTTTTCCCTTCTACGTGACTTTACCGAAAGAACCAAGAATATGAATACCTGCAGTCACGAAAGCTTTAAATCAAAGTTTTAGGAATTGTTTTTTCTTTTTGCTAAATACTTACATTTTTCGTAAAACCAACTGTTCCACCACGCGGTTCAAACCGTTGGTTGATTGCAGCCATATAAGAACTGTTAGACGTCTGCGTACACCATGTATATGGTTGTTATTACCGGCAGAACGGCGTACTCGAATTGTAAATGCTGTGATGTGCTGAACTAGTAACGAATTGGCATGTTTTGTTTGCGTGACATACTTTACTAATTGGCTGTGTCGTGTGGTGGCGGGTTTAACGACACGTTAATGTTTATATTCCAGGCTCGATTTAACACAGTACGTAAAATTTGTGATCTGATCCCATCTGTGAAGGATAGGATCCCTGATATGCAATACCCTGGCGTCTACAAACTAAGCTGTGTCTGCGGCAGTAGTTACATTGGGGAAACTAAGCGACATGTTCGTGAGCATAAGGCAGATTTGAAACACGGTAGGACCAACACGTCGGCCATTGTTTTAATGCGGTTAGCTCACACGAAATAGATTTATCTTAGACGAAGGTACTTTGTAAGTCCACTGGCTATCAACAATGATTCGTTCATGAAGCCATCCATATATACAGACACAGACACAATTTCAACCGAGAGGATGGGTACAAACACAGCTATCATTGGAAAGACGTCATCAACCAGTTTAAGTCATAACTGGCTGTGATGTTCCCATCCTGCCACCTTCCGATGTTACTTTTTTTCCCCGTGGCTTTGGCTCTCCGATTTCACATTAACAGGTTGAATTTCTCGTGCCAACGTGGCCACCTCTGGACGCCGACCTCTACGTCGCGGTGGCTCTGCGATCTCACATTAACATATGCTAATCTCGCACATTAACATCACTAGCCCCGCCCACCTCGTTTATGACCCTCGAACTACACCCAATAAAACAGTCTGCATTCAGCAGCTTTCCTCCTCTTTCCTCCTGATGACGATTGCTTGTGTTGTGATTGAAACGTCGTAGTTTTTTGTTTATTTTATATTTATTATTTGTATTAATTTGTACCTATCTACGTGACTTTACTGAAAGACCCAAAGAATATGAATTGCTGCAGTCACGCAAGCTTTAAGTCAACACTTTATGTTTACGCGATCTAACCAAAACAAGCCTCTGTTATGGACATGTAGTGAGGTATTCGTACATACAAAGATATATGATTAATTACGGTACATGTAAATTATACATTCACAAAATACCACGGCTGGTGGCACTAAAGCACAAACAATGTGTTTATATTACATCACTGTCAAATACTTCCTGCTCACATACAAACTTTTTAAAATGTCAAAAAGAGACATGTTTTCTTCATAAGTGTTTTTCAGTCAGTACTCGGTATTCTAGTTCTGACTTAATGCAATGACCCCAGTTCATGACCTACATACATTCAGAAAAATAAACCATCCAGTGCATGGGCTACAACAAACAAGAATGCTAAGTGTGTTGTTTCAAACCCACGAAGAGCCATATAGTAATGCTGCTGGAGAAACCTCACAGCCCAACAAGACGCAGTATATGTTTGAGGTATACATTAGGATGCATGGTTCATATGTGCACCGATGGTAAATAAGCAAAGATAGTAACAAAATTAAACACATGTAAGGTCCTATTTTCGCCTGTGATTGGATTTTGTTTTTATTTTTAGCTGGTCAACACGGGTTGGTGAAGAGTTTCCCAGAAAACGGTTCAGATCATCACTCGCCACCAATGTTAACCACGGCTGGAAATTAAACTCGGGTCACCAGGTTTACAGCACCATGCTTTACCTACTGCACCATCACTCAACGCCCCTATTTTTACTCCAATGCACCCTATCTATTTTTTAATCTATTTTCATTCAATTAACATCTGTTTCGAAAACACATTTCTCAGTTCTCGAATGTTTTTTTGTAATGATAGTATTGTTAATTAATCTATCCTACCTGATGGCGATTTTCTCATATCACGGGCACGGGTGTATCGTGAAAGTGGATACAAGAATTGGGCATTCATAGCACATCCCAAGAAATGCAAATAATTTTGTGTCACGCATGAAATAGCGCTTGGAGCAATAGGAATTCATGAGAAGGCTCTTCTTACCGCCTTGCAGTTGAATACAGCACCAGAAAGTCAACAGAGATATTTTTTTTCAGCATTTATTGAAATCTACCACTGCACTGCCTTTAATCCAATAAAATGAAATGCTGAAACTGTGGCGGCTTGACTCCATGGTGCATTTAACCCAACTCCTATGAGGAAATGCTTTGACATTGAAAGAAACTTTATTGTTTTAAGCGATTGTATTTTTTTTGTTAAAATGATAACATTTTTAAAAGTCTTTTCCACCAATTTTATTCCAATTAAACAATCGCCATCACACCATGAGATGAAATATAAATTCAGGTTTCTCACAAGGCGGTAGTAGATCACACTGCGTTATAGAACGGCCTGCAGAAGGTATTATCATGTAAATGCTTTTGAGATCCATGCAAACCGATCCAATTTACCCACATTGTGGGTGCTGCACATACACACACACACCCGATTAACAAATGTTCGCACAGCATTCAAACGAACAATTATAATTCTCAGCGCTGA